CACTGTGGTCGTGGATGGGGTTATTGATGCAGCACTAGTAAAGGAATTGTAAAGAGCCTGAGTGCTTTTTGTCCGAGCCGGAGTGACGATAAGAGCGTCGGTTTCTGCTGAGAATTAGCAGCAGTCCCCCACCATATTATCATTACCCGGGGATAGCAGTCTTACCCTGACCCTTCACCGCACCTTCACCTCCAACTCCATACCAAACCCCTAGCATCCCTCTCCTTCCGTCTCTTCCATCCTCACCACTCCTGTGGCCTGACCCACCACCACCAAATGCTGCTTGCTCCAGCATCCACACCTGCACAAGATTCGACAATCCAATCCCTTGTACAACAATGTCACACGGCAACACTATAAAATCACCTTTGATCCACGCCTTGCTATGAGCCACCCTGAGGACATCAGCTGATTGGAGACTATCGTTCAGCGAGCTCGGGGCTTCAATTTGTGTACCAATGCTCTTCCAGTAGTGGTTGAGTGAGGTACTTGTGAAGGCGGAGGATTTGAAGTGGGATTGGATCTGAGGATGGTGTTCTTGCAGAGTGAGAATGAGGATGGCTGTGCTTGGATGGAATTAGCCAAAGCCGAAGAAGGGGAGGCTGGGGCTCGAGTATACGGACACTTTACGCCTGCCTTCTCGCAGTAGTCGAGGGCGTAGTATATCATGGGCCTGTTTGCCACAGGAAGAAGGGCCTTGGGGATGTCCTCTGGCTGTGTGTATGGATACAAACTAGTTCCCCCCCCACATAGAATGACAACCTGGAAGCCGAGATCTGCCACGGCTGGCATGGCTGGCGTAGAGGAGCTTCTGGCGGTGGGTCGGAGGTTTTCTGAGGACAGACTACTTTCTGAGTGTACTGTTGGTGTGTGTGCTGGTGGGTACTGTACTTAGGGTATAATTCTGTCACACAACAAAAAGTGCCTGCTTGGCACCTCGCTACACAGCTCCCGTTGGTAGCGAGCCCCAGGGCATTCTCGACTCATGTGCGCCTCTGCCCCACCAGCACGCCAGAAGAAGCCTTGGCGCCGTGCTTAGCTGCCCTATGTACCGTCACGTGAGCTGTGGCTTGCGCCCCACAGCGGAGGGTGCAGCCACGCTAAGCCAGAGATGGCGGTGCCCGAGAGCCCGCGGAGGCAGGGCTTGCCTCATGATGCCTCGGTCGCGAGCTTCACATACGCCGGCCATCACCGCAAACATAACTCTTCTCCCCCCGAGTGCTGCCCGCCCCGCTGCCTCTCCATCCCTCCCATCCCTTCTATCCCTCTTATCCAAACGCCCGCCAACGCACGTACCTCTTATAGACAGCATCGCTGCAGGGCAAGGGGCCTGCCGTGCGTGCGTGCGTGTGTGGGCATTACAGTAAATACAAAATCCTGGATCCCAGCCTCCTTCAATTTGACTTCAGCTTGAATCGCACGTTTTATTTCGAGTCCTGTTGTTGTCGCTGCCTCTGATAAACGAAGATTATCCATCTGCCGCTGCTGCGCAATACCGAAACCCGTTACCAGCCTGCCCCACGTGAACAGGAACCAGCCTCAAACACCCCTAACCTTCGATTCAACTCTCACAGGCTTGCATCTCAATCTCGAGACATCACACTTAAAATAGATACCCATCTTCATTGCTTTGGATTCTAACATCCACTATCCTCCCCACTTGCACTCCTCAATACCCCCATCATGAGCGCCCCCCGCTCCTCCCGCAGCTGGCGCTCCAAGTCCGTCCTCGTCCCCCTCGCCCTCTCCGTTGCCGCCGCCGCCACGGCTGCCGGAATCTGGCTCTGGCTCGACGACCACGACCACCACCATCACAACCACTCGCACGACCTGCCCTCGGACTCCGAGCACGATTCTGACGCCGGTGGACTCTCCTACTCTGCGCTTAGCGAGGGCCGCACCAGATGCCGCACCAGATGCCGCCCATGCACCCCGCACCGAACCTGCTCTGGTACCGGCAGCCCCTCCTCAAAACCCCCTCCCCCACCCTTAGGCATCTCCGACTCCTCCATCCGCCCCCCCCTATCCCGAGTCGACGAGGAATCTGAGCGAGAACATCCAAGAAGTGTACCCTCAGCCCCATTAGGAATAACCTCCCCCGCCAGCGCTAGCTCAGGTGGTGAATCACGGACATACATCCCACCCATCAAAACTCGCACCGTCGCGTTCGTTGTGTCCGCCCAATCCGCGTCATCAAACACCCTCCTCACACTCCTCCCCAACCCACTAACCATCCCCCCAAACACTACCCTCCACATATTGATTTACACACCTACACTCAGCCAGTGTGCCCCAGCTGGTACTTTTCACGCAGCAAATACACAAACTCGGCCTTCCCCGCCATCGAAAATCCACGATTTAGCGTATTCAATCCTCCCAGTTACGTATCCAAAGGAATATATCCTCCCCTACACTACCCACCCAACAGGCACCTTATCGCTACTCCGCCATCTCTCCCCCAAGGTGGTATACATGGAGGAAACGCTCGCTGGGGAGGACGGGCGGGTTCTTAGAGAGTTGATCTCAAACGGATCGGTGGTTGAGGGGATTGTGGTGCTGGGGACGGGGCCGGGGGCGATTGGTGGGAAGGGGGCAAAGGACCCCACGTTAGCGGGGTTGGTGGACTCGAGTGATGAAGAGGGGATTGAGAAGATTGGGTATGGGGAAGCAGGGGTTAAGGGGAAGGAGAAGGCTGTGGGGGAGAAGGCTGTGGAGAAGGGGAAGAGGTGGTGGAATGAGCCGGAGTGGGATGGTGGGAGGGGAGGGGGAAGTGTACTTGAACGGCCGTATCTGGCGGAGGATTGGCAGAAGAGAGTGGTGGATAGGAAGTGAAAGAGGAGTTAGCGGTGTGGGTACAGAGAAGGTATGCTTGTTGGGGGGATTGAAGAATATACTGAGTGCATGAGGACGAGACGAGACGAGGCATGATTTCAAAAGTGTGGCTATTGGTGAGGGTATAACGGTGGTAACTATTTGCTTGTTGAACGCCTTTATTGATTATTCGATTATCGCCTACCAATTTTGGGAGTTTCTTTTTAATTTCTGTTTTGTTGTGCCCCTTTGACATTCATTGCATGAGAGCTTATGAGCGTGGTACCTTTTTGGTGGAGTAGTAGAGAGCGAGAAACCTCTTCTAGTAGTATATATATAATCCCGCAGCCTCGTGCCCCTAATCCCCCGTCACCTTGCGTTTTGCAGATGATTAGTATATCCATCCAATATCCAACATTGTACCATACAGAAATGATGGTATCTGCAGTTTTTTTCCCCTTCCCTTGAACTTTGGTGGTTATCTCCAAATTGTGGCTACGGTTATTTGAAAGATAGGGTACTCGATTCATTCTTTGATATGTTTTTTTTTTCTTTTTTTTTTTTTGTTTTGCGAGGTAATCTCTTCCTACACATCCCTACCATGACATGTCGTGTCATGTCGTATGTGCTACAATTCAATGCTCGGTGATTACTGGCTTGCGGCATCGTAGTTATCGGACAGGCAGCAGATTTATGTAGCCATCAAGCTCCACCCGGTACTAGCTATGGAGGCGCGGTAGGACCTGCTAGCCTCCTTAGATTTCACTTACCTCCGGCACCTCGCATAGTTCAGGGTAACAGCCCTCCCCGCGAAAAAAAAATGCCAAAGCAGATTACCTTGAGTTATGAGAGTTTGTACAAAGAAGATTTCTTTCTATCAAGGGATAATAAAAAACTAGACAGCTTTATTCCCTTTTGTGGTGGTATGTTTGCTAGGTACACATGTATCTAGCATAAGTCCAACTTTTGGAAACCAAGTGCACGATCATACCGCCCACCAATTCTTGGTATATAAGTAGTAACACGCCAACCCCAGTTCTGTCCTGCAGTCCTCCGGCCTCCTGTGTTCTCTGGAGAACACATAAGACCCCCCGTTTTCTTTGCGAGATGCTAAGTGTCCTGAAAGAAGTATACTCCAGCTTCTTTGAGATTCACCTTGAAAGGAGGCATAGGTGAAGGATAGTAAAAGGTAACCTCTAAGAAAGGGAAACTCACCTGACTGAAGTTACTGCTTTGCCTTGCACAAGTGTAATCCATTTTGGGGGGGGGGAGTATTTGTAAGTTGAAAGCTCTTTCGAGACCCGAGCGAGCTCGCAAAAAAATAATATTCTTCCTACCATGCATGTAAACCCTAGGCTGGGAAAAAACCACATACCCTTCTCCCCCCGCTCCCACAAGCACATAACCTTTCCTCTCCCCCAATCCCTGACCATTGATATTGATATGAGATTATTATCATCATACTAAAATTTATTAGCAGTACATTACTCCACACTGCTGAAAGGCAGAGCTAATACCAAGCAGCAAGCTTGGACTTGAACAATCGCCCTGAGATAGCGTGTTCTAAAGTACAAATGGCTATATCCCGAAGACCAACAGTACATGGTGCATATATCTGGGTGGGTGTATCGCGCGGGGGACGATATATTCCAGAGACACAAATACATGTGCACACCTAACTTTAAATGCCTTTTACCAGAAACCTTGCTGTTACGGAGGAGGTGTTATGATTCTGTCTTTGCATCCTACTTAGCTATACGAGGGGAGGAGGGTGTTTCCATTCTGCTATGAAGCATTTAATACTTCCCCTCAGAGCTTGCCTGGTATGGTGCTGGCTAAGCCTTATCAGGGGGATTGAAATGTAATGTACCTCATCTGTACACAGATTCACCGAGAGACAGTACCAGACTAGAGAAACAGAGTCTCTCTCTTTCCTGTCCGTCGTGGATATCATCAAGACCTTACAAATATAAAACATGTAAACCACAAAACTCCTACGAAGGATGAATTATGGCTTTCTTTCCAAAAACAACACAAAGTTCGAGTACAAGGCACCAGTAGAATGCAGCCCTTACTATCGGAAAGGGTAAATAAGTCACCTGACAGACGCACTTATCTCCAAACCCTCCTACGCTAGGACCTCGGTAAAACAAAGAAATCCTTAGATCCCCCCACTAAGAAGAATGACCAGCCCAATGCGAGGCTCGAATCGCGACCTTGAGATCCTTCATCGACTTTTTACCAGGAACGTAAGAGTCACACGCTCTACCGACTGAGCCAACCGAGCCCTGAATAATCCTTTTCTCATGTACAAGGGGAGAGAAAAACATATGTGCTCATAGAATGCCAGCATAAGTTACTGTTTCTCTGCAGTCACGCGTACTCACCTTATTGGAACCAGCAACCTCTGCATATGACAGTAGTACTACTTGCAACCCGAGGACAACTCATACTGATATTTAGAAAGTAACTCTAAACATCATTATCTTCGAACATACGCAAGTGCGAGGGCTAGTATGGTAGCTATAATATAGCGTGCTTGGAGGAAATATTAGTATCAAAGTTCTTAAAAAAGCAATTACTCTCAGGGTGCACATGAGCAGGCATACCCAATATCATCACAGCATTAAGCCTAGTTGTGCCTATGGTCTAAGCATGAATCACAAGTTCTGCAAATTTGAATCCCTTAATATAGTACTAGGCTGGGCAGGTGGTGCATAATAGAAGAGTGGTCTGTATTGAATGAACCAAAGAAACTTCATTGCTTATCTAGAGTTGACCAAGAATTTTGTGATTTCATGTTCACTGTAGGAGCAACAAAACCACGTTCTGGTCAGTTGTAGTTAGTCTGTCATGCATATGTAGAGTAGATCATACTAAATAGGGAAAGGCTAATGCAGTAGTTCTGGGAAAAAAGAACTTCTATCCAAGCAAATATTAATCCGTCAGTTCAGAAACACAAACATTGTTTTTTTAATCCCATTACGCCAATTATAAGCAAGGAAATGAGAAGTCGATAGTCAGGTTGCAGAAACAAGGATAACTTTGGGACGACCGCATAATAAAGAGTTCATCCAGACAAATACAAGCAACGCACTACAAGAAAAAGACATCCATTGGAAGGAAACGTTTCATACCTTATGTATATCCGTGCTTCCGTCAATCCGAGAGTGAGTATATTCTGCTTCTCGAATATCATTGGTCGGCGTTCATGAGTCCGGTTGTCAGAACAACTTTCGTTCTGTTAGATTGATCTTCAGAGCTTGCGTACGCTGCGTGAGTGCTGATGTCTAGTTGGACTCTCTGTTTTCCAACTAAAGGATTCTTGCTCTGAGTAGCACAGGCCTCCATAAATACGGCCAGCTATGTCCGCTGGGCATCTCGTATCGCAGCTCATTTGAGTGTCACACACTAACGGGGTGCAGTTGGTTGCCAGCGCAAAAACAGATGATTTGCCGCTTTCAAGCCGCGTTCAGCTGAGTAGTAGATTTTCATTTCATTGGATCACCTCTTAAGCAACTGCTTTCACGCATAGCCACACTCCCAGCTCAGGCCTACACTACGTTTGTCCACGCGATCCACAAGTTATCATCTCCAGGAGAGCAATTTCACACAGAGGGACTCATCTCGATGCGGGTGTCTACCTGACCACGGTGGCTAAGCCGCCTAACCTCATTTACAAAGCAGTGCAGATCTAGAAGCTATATTCATGCACTGCGCAAGCCAGTACACATTCATCAGATTATAGTCTGGTTGGCACACAGACTAGTTGGCACATAGTCTGGCACATCTAGTCTGGCGGGCACCGCCTCTCGTAGAGCTGGCACATCGGATTGCTCACTTATCGAGATCGTTAATCCAACGTCTAGCTTGCAACTTGCATCCACTTCTTATTGACTCCTAGTCTGGTTGGCACATTGACTACGGGAGGCGGTGCCCGCCAGACTAACTCCCAGCCTTTTTGATTGTGAGAACTTATGGCCATATCTTGTAGTCATCCTTATCCCATAGCACTACGATGCATTAGAGTCTGGGCGGCAACCTGTATATTGCAGAGGGGCACTTCGAAGATGATCTGAGATGGTCCGCTTTGGGCATGCCGGCACTATATACCGCAATTAGCAAATGCACAGAACTTCAAAATTTGACTCTGATGCTTAAGGGTTTTGGGCCGTGAGGAGGAAGGGAGCATTTCCAGAAGCGGACCTAGTTACTCCGGATTTTTCCAGCAACTCAGACCTCTTCCGCGAGCATCGAAGTAAGACCAAACCTCAACAGAACGTGAACATTGGCGATTGCGTAGTCTGGCTTGCGCGCTGAACTTAAAGGAGAACATTTTGATGATTTACTTCCCATCTGACCGAGTAGTCGTAATGCCTTGTGCTCAAGCTTCAGACTGACTGGATATAAACTCCTATTGAAGTCCCTCTTTTCTCCCTTCGCTCACCAGCCGCCCTCACGTTCGTTTTATCTTTGCCTTCACGAAATCTACAAACTCAGTAGCGCATCTCTGCAAATTACGTTTCGTACGAATTCCATAGTTACCATACTTTCTTAATATCCTCGATCAACATCCACGAAAATGAAGTTTTTCGCCAGCATGGCCGCTGCCATCGTCATCATTGCCTCTCCACTCATGGCTTCAGCCTTTCCTGTCCCTAATGTTGCCAACTGGCTCGCAGGCCACAATCTCGAGACCACTCCTGCCGTGGCTGCTGAGATCGACCAATTCCCGAAGTTTGTCCCAAGGACTTATGAAGTCCCGAGAAATTGTACCAATAGCACAGATGGCAACGCCCCCGAGTACGGATATGGCTACTCTCGCAAGATGCACCGCGGACTTACACCCCTCCCGAGGTCCGTTGATGTACTAGAATCAAAGCCGGGGCCAAAAGTTCAAGACGTCAAGCCTCCAAAGGTTGATTTCGATCCAGCCGTCGGCGCCAACCAGAAGCGAGGCCACAACTAAAGCTACTGCCCCGATTTCAACCGCTTATAGCTTATTACTTTCATACCTTGCTTTCGTGAGCAATAGGGGAGGGGAAGACGGTTGAAAGGTTCTGAAGGTCGATATTCTGAGCAATTAGAGGAGGAAAATAAGACTTTGGACGGGTGATCTAGGTGATGGAGGAAAAATAGTGAAACTAAGGTCTTGAAGTAGGGATATCAATATAGGTGTTTGAGAGACGAGCATTTCCACCTCTCACGACCACGAGAACGGTATTTTCCTGTATTATATTTTTGTGTTGTATAGATTTAATTATAATACCACATTCTTGTGTGTCAGATAGTTCTCAAGACCTACCCCACGCTCTGCAAGTGATGCATAGCCGCCTATTCCATAGTCTAGTCTACCCCTATGTAGGGCCTTTTGATATTGAGAAGCCGTAGCTCTATCATATTTATATCAACGTGTGAAATTAGTTCCTATTGTTGTGCTTTGTAAGTTGGCTATTCTGTTGAAAACAAAACAAAACAAACAGAAAAAAAAAAAAAAAGTAAATCAAGCAATATGCACGGGTACATGGCTTTTTTATATTTTTTTTTTTCCCCAGAAACAAAACTAGCCCACACGAACCACGATCTCACGTGCACGGACTGCCGTTTTCGGCAATCTAAACATGGCCGGGGGATCTATGTAGTCTCCAACCCAAAGGAGGGTGTTGTGCCAACCAGACTAGTGCCAACCAGACTACCAGGGACCGATTTCGGGCTAGTGTAACAGAGGGGCTAGTGCAAGCCAGACTAACCTCCTGTAACCAATGTGTGCCACAACCAGACTAGTGTGCCACCTACCTACATAAGTACTTACTTCGCAACGTATATACCTCCGTGAGAAGCAATGAGCAACCCGCCGATTCTGTTCCGTCGACGAGTGTAGATGCAGTGCACCTTATACACTTTGCCGTTATGGTCTGCGCACTGATATCCACGAAGCGGCCTGGCGGCTGTTGTACCAAGACCATTGTCAGGGGACTGTATGTATCTATGAGCTTCGCATGAAATAACCAATTAGGATATCACTAAGGGTGAATTGATAGACGGATTACGCTAATGTCAGATTACTAGTGGGACGTATATCACTCGAAGAATCGAACTGATTATACAGTAGAGAATGTAATTAAACCCCAAGAAGCTCTTGATGCTCTTTGAGGGGCCAAGTACCAATATTTTCTACACGTGCACATTCTCGGCCAACCTCCAGCGCCTTTGAACTCGAAATCTTTGAGTCGGTAAGAAATCAGGCTTTAGTTTACAGTACCTGTGGCAGCGAGAACTCCCTAGCCTCAGCCTCGGATCAGGATCGTCCAAGAACATTACGGAGACTATGCTAAAGCTAGTCCCGCTGCTTAAAGAAGTGGCCTAAGCCTTTGGCTATTTCGAAGACGATCTCTACTCCATCCCGGCCGACAAATCCGCCAGTGATTTGAGAGAGGCACGTTCATAATACTCAAAATGGCACATCTGCTTTGGGTTTTGCAAGACAGGACTATCGGATGTTAAGTGTTAGAGGATCGATCCTCAGGGTGAAGTCTCTATTGATTTTGGCAGCGGGGCTGGGCTAAATATATTTCGTACTATAATGAAAGTCAGATCTACAAGGAGGGCAATCGGCATCGGGTGAACGATGTACGCAAATTCTTTTATTGAGCGGTTGTGAAGAGATCCCTCTGAGAGATCCATCCTGCAGGAGGTCACACTTGCTAATAAGAACGCTGTCAGTGGAGGCGTCTCCAATACAGAATTCATCAAGGCGCTCATCTATCCCACTTCCCAGATGACACGGTAGATTGTATTGCCTCAAACTGCGCTATCAACCTTGTTCGGGTCTGAGAAATCTCATCGGGCGGAAGGCTCGCCGTCAATGACGTTGGCAAGGAAGGAATACTTTGCTATGTGGGCTGTACCAGTGGTGCCAACTTAGTTGAACTGTATCATCTGGATGATGCTGGATTCCATACTTTGTCACGCGGCGATCCCTGGAATAGGATATGGTCTCAGCCGGGGCCTAGTTATAAAGTCGGGATTATAACTGGCGGGGGTTGATTCTGGTATGTAACTTCAACAACTGGACAAATGAGTCCCCCAGGCATGCCACAAGTCGACTAGGTGCCTTGTCTTAGTCGTGGCTCCAGTTACTCTCTTAAGAAAAATAATGAGAAAAAATGTATTAAGAAGTGATTCTGAAGGGCCTATCAAGTATATGCAATCAACCCAGCAAATCAAGATCGGATGCCTCATCTCAAGACAGTCATTTGTGCAGGATTCCCGAACCATCTCGGACAA